GGAGGTTACTGGGTCTTATTTTGTGTTTTTTATCTTGTATTTCTATGTTGTGAATCGCCCTGAGATCTACAGACAAGGGGCCTATACAAATTTAGCAATAATAATAATAATAATGGTGAGTTTGGTTTTTAAAAAAGAAAAAAAACTGGTAAACTAGAGTGTAATTGTTAATGGATGTCACTGCATACTTCCAAGTGTAAAAATACCGAGTGGTTGTGATTTTAAAATACTTCTGCCCTTCTTAAATATTTGTCAGTCTCAAGATGAGATAATTATGGTTTTCTATTTCCATTGATGCTACCCAAAACCAATACGATAAGCTAGATTTTGAGCAGATCATATTTATGCAGGTCATTTTCACCTTTCCTTGTCACACTTAGTTCCTTTTTGATCTCTGAAACTAATAGGCAGGGATAATATTCTAGGAATCCTGCTCAGCATATCCATCCTTCAGCCAAAACTACAGCAGGGGCAAAGGTGTTGCAGAGGGGAGGAGCACTGGGTGAGAGGAAGCTTTAGTTAAGAGTCAAAGGAAATTAGGTGTGGAATGGAATAAGAAAGGACTTGGAGGTGTGGGGAAGAATGAAACTGTCTTTCTGGGGCAGAATATCTACAATTAAGATGAATGTGCTACCAAGGATGTTATTCTTATTTCAGGCTATCCCCATAATTAAGGGGAACAGGATTTTTAAAGAGTGGCAAAGAGCGATTTCAAGATATATTTGGCAGGGCAAAAAGCCGAGAATTCAATTTAAGTTACTAACAGATGTGAGAGAAAGAGGAGGCTTTGCCCTGCCGGACTTGAAATTATACTATGAGGCATCATGGCTTTGCTGGTTGAAAGAAAGAATTAAATTAGAAAATAAAGATTTGTTAGACTTAGAGGGGTTTGATAACAGATTTGGATGGCATGCGTACCTACGGTGTGAGAAGAAGAAAATTCATAAAGGCTTCGAGAACCACATCTTCCGAGGTCCTTTAATTGAAGTTTGGGATAGGTATAAAAGCCTACTAGAACCTAAAGTACCACACTGGTTATCTCCACTAGAAGTTATGAGTGTAAGGAAAATCAATATGAGAGGTAATTGGATCACATATGGCCAATTGATATCTAAGGAAAATGGAAAATGAAACCATATGAACAAGTTAAAGAATATGTATATGATTGGTTGCACTATTTTCAAATAAATGAAATGTTTAGGAAAGACATTAAAGAATGTGGTTACGCAGACAAAGATTCAAGATTCCAGATAGAAATAATAAATAATGATTCTAAAATTTTATCCAAAATGTATAAGTTGTTGTTAGAATGGAATTTGAAGGATGAAGAAGTTAAATCAGTAATGATACATTGGGTCAGAGACTTTGGTTATAATATACAATTTGAAGACTGGGAAAGATTATGGAAGGAGAATTTAAAATTTACAGCATGTATGACGTTAAAAGAAATGTTATGAAAATGTTTTATAGATGGTATATAACACCGGTAAAATTAGCGAAAATGTATAAGACATGTAACAAGTGTTGGAAATGTAAAGATAAAGAAGGTTCTTTTTATCATATGTGGTGGGAATGCAAGAAAGTAAAAGGCTTCTGGGAAATGATATACAATGAACTGAAGAAGATACTAAAATATACATTTATAAAGAAACCAGAGGCCTTTCTACTAGGAATTTTAGGAAAGGAGATAAAGAGAAAGGACTGTAAATTTTTTCAATATGCAGTGACAGCTGCAAGAGTGTTATTGGCTCAGAAATGGAAACAACAGGAAATACTGACGGTGGAAGAATGGAGAATGAAGCTGCTAGACTATGCTGAGTTGGATAAATTGACTGGGAAGATTGGATACTCAAGAGACCAAAAGTTTATCGAGGACTGGGGAAAATTTGTGGAATATCTGAAAAGTATAAGTGAGGGACAGATAACGCTAGAGGTTTTTAAAGAGGCACTGTGAAATTTGAAAAGTATTGTTAAAAGGGAATAGAAAGGGAAAGGTTTAAATAATGACAATACAAACTTAAGGAATGCGTAATTTAAATAATGACTATGGATGATTCTCGGAAAAGCTGAAGGAAGTCCAGAAAAGAAATACTCTGTGAAAAATTGGATGTGAAATTATTGTGTGTTTGTGTTTTTGTTGTAAATTAATAAAAATTATTTTCAAAAAAAAAAAGTCAAAGGAAATTAATCTCATTTAAAAAATGAACACAGAATTTCACATACTTAAACTTAAATTTAACTTCAAAATTTATTTCCCCCCCAGGTGTGGAGTTGTATGGATTTTTTTAAAGAGTTCAAGAAGGATTTTACACATGGCAGGTGTTTCAAGTCTTGTTTCTTTTTTAACCTTAGAGTTGATAGAAGCATTGTTGTATGTGATGTGCATCTTTCTCTCCAATTATTTCACCACTCAAGCAGGTTTTGCAAGGTTTGCCAATCCTGCTAAAACCTGTTTGAGCAGAGGTAACAGTGAAACAAAATAAATAACTGCGCCCTTCAGATGATTACCTGGTTTGCATGTAACAGTAAGCCATAAACAATGGCTCACTGTAAGCGAGGAGCAGACTGGTGCACACTGCTCAGTTGTGCCCAGCCCTCTTGTCTTTTTGTGTGCCAGGAGAAAATAAGCCGGAGTACTGGCTTAGCATCATATGCACTAGCAGTAAGCAAGAACAAACCTTGACTTCTGCTTTGCCTGGAGTGAAATAAACTATGAGTACAGTGGTACCTCGGGTTACATACTCTTCAGGTTATAAACTCCACTAACCCAAAAATAGTGCTTCAGGTTAAGAACTTTGCTTCAGAATGAGAACAGAAATCGTGCTTCAGCGGCGCAGCAGCAGGAGGCCCCATTAGCTAAAGTGGTGCTTCAGGTTAAGAACAGTTTCAGGTTAAGAACGGACCTCCGGAACGAATTAAGTACTTAACCCGAGGTACCACTGTACTGGTTTGCATGTACAGTGGTGCCCCGCAAGACGAACGCCTCGCAAGACGGAAAACCCGCTAGACGAAAGGGTTTTCCGTTTTGGAGGCGTTTCGCAAAACGAATTTCCCTATGGGGTTGCTTCGCAAGACGAAAAAATCTTGCGCGTCCCCGCGGGTTTATTTCGCTTTTTTTCCTCTTTTCCTAAGCCGCTAAGCCGCCTTATCAGCTGTTCCGCTGATAACCCGCTTAACAGCTGATCGCGAAAAGCCGCTAGACCGCTGTAGTGCTAATCCGCTAAGCTGTCAATGGGCTTGCTTCGCAAGACGAAAAAACCGCTAGACGAAGAGAATCGCGGAACGGATTCTTTTCGTCTTGCGAGGCACCACTGTAAAGTTAGGCCAGCACTCTGGTTTATTTCCTTTTGACACAGCACAAGAAGAAGAGGGTGGGTGACTGAGCAACCTGCCCTAGCCAACATGTTTCTCATGGGCAGTAAGCTATGATTTGTTTCATACCATGGCTTTGCATTATGTGTGAACTGGGCTGAACACATGCAGATGAGAAGCAGGATTACACTGGCAGATTCTGTACAGACCCTACACATGTAGGTTTAACATTGCAATCAGAACGCTTTTTGGAAGATCCCACTCTGATGGCATCTCTCTCCCTTGTTCCACAGGTCAGAGACACATCCCAGAAAATATTGGAAGTAAATCAAATGGTTGGCACTCCTATGCCAACAAGGACAACAAAATAAAAATATTCCTTCCAGTAGCACCTTAGAGACCAACTAAGTTTGTTATTGGTATGAGCTTTTGTGTGCATGCACACTTCTTTGTGCACACGAAAACTCATACCATTAACATACTTAGTTGGTCTCTAAGGTGCTACTGGAAGGAATTTTCTTATTTTGTTTCGACTACAGCAGACCAACACGGCTACCTACCTGTAACAAGGACAACAAAGTCAGCCGTGACCTGCATTGGGAGCTAGACAAAAAGGAACAAAAGTGGGCTGTCCTCTCACACAGTGAGGTAAACATGCTTAATTTACATAATCCTGCCTAAAAGAGTGAGTGGGAGGGACAACCCATTCTTTCGCATCCCTTCCCACCACTGTAGACCAGTTGTTCTTTTAAATGGAGATTGCAGCTGAAGCATCTTTGCAGCAATGAACATTAAGAACCAAACAAAGAATCCATCAAACTACTTTATTAACAAATGCCTTGCAAATGTTGAGGGTGAAGCAAGGTACCAACATTCCTCAGGGGGTTATCATTTTTCTTGCTACTAAAAGCAAACTTCCACTCGCATGAACCTGCCATGGGATGGGAGGATGAAATGAGAGAATTATCTCTAAAATTCTTATAGCATGTCTTTCTGTGTTGTGAGAAGCGTTGCACTGTTTAGTAAACTAAGTCTTGCCTAAGAACAACCTTACAGTGAAACCTCGTTTTACGTACCACCCTCCTTACAAATGCTTCAAGTAACGAGCTCCGCTGACCCAGAAGTAGATGCCCCTAGTTGAGAACTTTGCCCCAGGATGCGAGCGGAAGTCGCATGCCGGCGGCACGGACCTCATGTTAAGAACAGTTTCGGCTTGAGAACGGACCTCCGGAACAAATTAAGTTAGTAACCGGAGGTACCACTGTATTTCCTATAATCCACTTTGACCAATAAACGCACATCTTTTAGTTTCTACATCCTACCAATTTCTTGGCCCATTTGCAATCACTAGAAGCTCACACATGATCCACTTTGATATTTCAGAGTCAACCCAAGCCTTTAATTTGCTTGGCTTTCTCTTTTGCTCCTTTCATAATCTGTTCTCTCATCTGGTTTTATTTCAGAGTGCCAGACTTGCTCCCTACTCCCAATAGAGTTTGCCTCTGCTTTACATACAACTTCCTATGGGGAAGTGTCCTAACCAGCCTTAAAGTAACAGCCTTAAAGACTCCATAAAAATTAACCTGTACTCTGTATCCTCTGCTGCAGCACTCAGCATCTTAAGCTAATTCTCACTGGTGCTACTATCCTCCATCTCCATCTCTTCCAGTTCTGTTTTTAATCTGAAAGAAGAAAAACAGGATACCCGGCCTCAAAATTTGAGATATGATGGGTACTGTTACAAGGCTACAAAATACCCTATGTGTTTTGGTTCATTCTTCCTTAGGAAGAAATAAAACAGATTAGAGTGCTTCAGTAACTTACCATATCTGAAAAAGTGATAAGCTACAGACTACAGCCACATCTTGTTGGGATCATTCTGAAGCTGTGGAATGAATCAATGTAACTGGGAACATAGAGATTCAAGGAGGCATAGTGAATGGAGTCACAGGTGTCACTTTCCAAAGAGTGGAAGCTGCAGTAATATGGAAGAAGCAGCGCACAACATTTCCCCAGATACAAAGAGCCATCAGAACAAGAGATAAGAAGAATCACATCAGAAAAGCCAGGAGAGAAATATATAGAATCCTTCAACATTGAGTTTTGCACAGATCCTTTTAGATTCCCAATATTTACACAAATAAGGTATAGAGCCTAGAGTTTGTATTGCATCTCATAGCAAAATCCTTTTTTAAAAATCAAGCACTATGTTCCAAGGACAGAGGATTAAGCTAGCACCCTAGATTCCAGTCTCCTGGCCTAGAATCTTCCAGAGCTGAATCTCAGAACTAGAACCCTCAGTTCACTCCCATCCTTCTGCTCACCTGCTACATCTTTGCTTCAGATCAGAATGGTACTTAGAGACTGCTTCAAGGTATTCTTTTGCTGCCTTCTTTTCCTCTTGAAATAACTTCCTGGAAATTAAAGGAAGGCAATCAGATGTCCAGCTCCCAGGGATCCACTTGTCGAACTTCTGCACAAAAAACTGGGCAAGAAGCAGGTCTCTTCCACAAACCCAACTCACATGGGAAAGTCTTCTCCTATTTATACTTCATTTATACTCCTATTTATTCTCTGTAAATTGAAGTCAAGTTATTAGACCTGCAGTGGGGCATCTCTGATCTGCAGGCATAATTTTTCATTTGCAGCATGCCTTAAGTTTGCACTCAGTACTTAAGACATCTTACCTTCATTTGGGTATGGGTCCTTTGCCACATTAGCTCCACTTGCAGATGGGGAAATGGCACCGCCAAACCTCAATGACCTTGCTTCCCAAGTGGCAAAGGCAGTTAAGCATTGAGGCATTCCTAAGCAAGAACAGGAGAACCTCTGGCTCTTAATCTGACATAGGACTCAGGCTACCCTCTTTCATGCCTCTCTTGGGCTGCCATATGGCCTTCTCCCTGGCTTAGTTACTACAAACCTACCAAGTTACAATATATATACAAAAGTTGAACTAAGTTTCTAACCTGGGACAGTAAGGAAAACAAGACATGGAAATGTGTTTAAGTGAGCACAATCTACCATGTTCTTTTGGGGAAGCCCCACTGAAATGAACAAGAGACTATGTATATGTTGCAATGCATACTATTTGGATTTGACTTGTGATTCACTACCAACATTTCCCCATAATATTCTATAACGTGCAGGGAGTTTTTCACAGTCAAGTTGTTGTGGAAAGGGCTCCTAGGTTGAATGTTTGAAAATCACTGAATCAGGTGAATTATTACTAGCTTAAAAGGTAAAGGACCCCTGACCATTAGGTCCAGTCATGACCGACTCTGAGGTTGCGGCGCTCAGCTCGCTTTACTGGCCAAGGAAGCCGGCGTACAGCTTCCGGGTCATGTGGCCAGCATGACTAAGCCGCTTCTGGTGAACCAGAGCAGCACACGGAAACGCCATTTACCTTCCCGCCGGAGCGGTACCTATTTATCTAGTTGCACTTGGATGTGCTTTCGAACTGCTAGGTTGGCAGGAGCAGGGACCGAGCAACGGGAGCTCACCTCATCGCGGGGATTCGAACCGCCGACCTTCTGATCGGCAAGTCCTAGGCTCTGTGGTTTAACCCACAGCGCCACACGTGTCCCTTATTACAGTGGTGCCTCGCAAGACGAAAATAATCCGTTCCGCGAGTCTCTTCGTCTAGCGGTTTTTTCGTCTTGCGAAGCAACCCTATTAGCGGATTAGCGCTATTAGCGGTTTAGCGGCTATTAAAGGCTTAGCGGCTAAAAGGCTATTAGCGGCTTAGCGGCTATTAGCGGCTTAGCGGCTAAAAGGCTATTAGCGGCTTAGCGGCTTAGAAAAAGGGGGGGAAGCGAAAAAAATCGCAAGACTCGCAAGACGTTTCCGTCTTGCGAAGCAAGCCCATAGGGAAAATCGTCTTGCGAAGCGCATCGAAAAACGGAAAACCCTTTCGTCTAGCGGGTTTTTCGTCTTGTGAGGCATTCGTCTTGCGGGGCACCACTGTACTAGCTTACTGAGCCACATTTATGAGGGCATGGCTTGCTTTCAGGGCGAGGTGCACCTATGGTTCATGCATATTTGGTTTTTTTAAAAGATCGTCTCCTTCCAACTTTAGCACACTTTGCAAATTGATCGTTTATACCTTTAAAAAATTGCACATGGTTAACTGAGTTTTAATCAGTATTACACTAAAGGAGGGTCCAGGTTAGCCTATACTCACAAGGCTGTTGCAGCCTCCTGGCTCTTCAGGAACTTCCTCTCCTTAATGAAGACCGACTGGCTAATCAAATCTAATTCATCTTGGGCATGGGCCAGTTTCTCCTGGATCATTTTTTCTGAGGAAATATTACACAGGGATTTTTAAAGGCATATCAAAGTAAATAAGTCCAATTTATCTCAAAAAATGAGAGTACAGTGGTACCTTGGGTTAAGAACTTAATTCGTTCTGGAGGTCCGTTCTTAACCTGAAACTGTTCTTAACCTGAGGTACTATCTTAGCTAATGGGGCCTCCTGCTGCTGCGCCGCCACTGCGCGATTTCTGTTTTCATCCTGTAGCAAAGTTCTTAACCCGAGGTACTATTTCTGGGTTAGCAGAGTCTGCAACCTGAAGTGTCTGTAACCTGAAGCGTCTGTGTGATAGGAATTTTGAGGTCTTAGATATATGGTAATGTTCATAACAGCACGTACATAGATCAGCACAAGAAGACCGACCTGAAGCCATTTTGATTCCTAAACTGAGCAAATGTTTTCTCTGCAAGGTCAAAGTGGACAAGCCTCCCCATTGTCTTTTCCTTCACAAATCCTGTCTTAAGGGTATGTCTGTGTTTGAATAAGGTGTGAGCCTGTGACCTGGCCCAGGAACTAAGTATTTATCATTACAAAGGACTGGCCAGGCTACCCAGGCAATCCAATCAAGTAACCTGCCAGACAGGAGATAAACAAGGACAGGAGAAAAACACATTCAAATTTTCTGTTTTAGACTGCCTTTTTTGTGATGTAGGTATGATATATATGAGGGGTGGTCTTAGGTTACACCCCTTCTGTGATGTATGTATGATGTTTCTGGGGGTGGTCCTGATCTACAGGATGGGAATTTCAAAAGTCTTTATAAGGCCTTGCATGCCATTTTTCTGGATCCTTCCTCTCTCCTGCAGGTGAGCGGGAGCACCCTGTTGCAACAGATCAATAAAGATCAAGCTTACTAGCTGCTTTGCTTCTCAGTATTCTCTGGTTGGCCTCTGTTATTTTCTCCTACCAATAGGGAACCTACGTAAGGACTCTATATAGGCTCTTGGATACCCCATAAGGGAAAAGGGCAATTTTTGTTTACAACATCTGTAACCCAAGGTACCACTGTACTTCCAGACAACAACAGAAGAAGTGTTTTATATATATATATTTGTAATACTGCACTAGTACAGTCTTATTCAGTACTAGTTACATGGGATCTGTTTCCCAAGTAATGCGTAGCTTTCTTCCACTCCCGAACAGGGAACTTCACTTTCCCTTTAAATCACTCCTGCCGCCACCACCATAGCCTCTGCTGCTTCTCCAGGGAGATCATGTGTGTAAACTGATGTACCGGGGGGGGGGGGTGTATGCCTCTCCATTTAAGTAGTTCAGTTTTAGGAGAAATTGCACTCCAGTCTAATCCAATCTGGGACTAGAAACTGCTGCATACAGCAGATAGGGAGTTTATTGTTTTCAAAACTTCTGTTTTTAATTTTACTTTTAAGTATAAAAAGAGGTGAAGGGGGCAGGGGTAGCTTTGCCAGTTTTCTACCCTTTTAGCAATAAGTAGGCCCATATTTGAATGGTACACTTGAATGCTTGGCCTCTGAATGAATTTATATTTTTATTAAGATCACAAAATGGTTTTGATATGGGAAGAAGTGAGGAGCTCTGTCACTTCTCACACTAATGATTTCACAGACACTTCCAGTTAAGTATCATTAAAAATGGTTAGCCCACATTCTGCACAGCACACACAAATACAGTTGCCATGCTATCCAAAGAAATAGAGGAGGAATCAAAAGGGTTTGGATGGCATACAAGTAAGTAATATTGTAGAACAATTATGTTTAAGATAACTTTTAGCTTCATGAATTCTCTTAGGTGTCCAAAAAGCCACAGACTCTCACCTTCACTGAGCAAACACTCCTTCTTCTCTCTTATGTCAGCCACTGCTGGTTTCTCCCTAGCCTGAAACACAGCAAACAGAATTCAAGGGAGAGAAATGAGGGGCAAATCTGCCTGTTTTGGTCTCTCTCCATTTCTCATTCTTCCAGTCTTAAGTTCAATCTTCCACATTAGTTTGTGAATTTCTGTTGAAGCTTAATGAAAACTCATCTGCATGTTTGTAAAAATTTGTCCTATTATACATGTTTAGAAGCAATTTTAAGACAGCTGGAATGCTACCCAGTATTGGAAGTAGGCATGGCCACTTAAAGTCCAAATGGCTGTTTCGTGGAAGCAGCCAAAGAAACATAAACATATTCACTTGATGGGAGTGGTACAGTTATCAAGAAGGAGAAGCTGGTTTGACTGCTTTGCTTACTGCTCATGATACAAGCCCCTTATATCCCAAGCCAGATGGACGGGGTAGAAATAATAAAATTATTAATAGTAGTAGTAGTAGTAAAAAAGGTAAAAGACCCCAGGACAGTAAAGTCCAGTCAGATTCAACTATGGGGTGTGGCTCTCATCTCTGCTTTCAGGCCAAGAGAGCCAGCATTTTTCCACAGACAGCTTTCTGGGTCATGTGATCAGCATGACTAAACCGCTTCTGGTGCAATGGGACACCGTGATGGAAGCTAGAGTGCACGGAAACACCATTTACCTTCTGCCAACCTTACAATTGGCAAGCCCAAGACACTTGGTGGTTTAGACCACAGCACCACCTGTGTAATAGTAGTAGGTACAAAACACCTGAATAGGGCTAATGGTTCCATCTCTGGGTATGTTTTTGCTGCTTTAGAGCAACCAATCAGCTATCCAATAATCCTATCAGTGTGTGCCAAGAGTAGCTTTCACACACTTCATAACAGTTATAGTGGCAAAAGGCTAGCTCCATGTGTCATTGGAGCTCAGGTGGCAACAGCTCAGCCCATTTCAGTCTGACATCTTATGTTGCCTCATCCTACATGATGCAAGCTGACCATGCTTTTGGAAGCTACAGAGAGACATCTTCTGAAGTGCCAGTGGACACAGGCATGCAGTTTGTGGAAAGCAAGGCTAAGGCATGAATGTGGTTCACTAGAGTAACTAGCAACCAATCTGTGAACAAATAAAACTTCTTCCCATGCTCCTTCCACCCCCAATACAGCTTTTATTTCCAATGTACTGAACTGCTCCTCCAGACAGAGCATCTTCCCATTCATACATTTCATCTATCAAAAGAAAGCTAAAGTCCCCATCTCCCATCCTTGCTGCTCAGCACTTCCATATTCTAGCACATTTCTGAATCAAGGCATAGAATACAACAGTCTCCATTTCCAGGTGTTCTCAAATGTTTCAAGTTCATTTGATGTTACTCTGTTTCCAAAGTTAAAGGCAGAATATAGTGACTCTCAACTCTCAGTTTCTACTATATTCACATATTGTCACTTGGACATGAACATTTCTGAAGGTCACTTATCCTGCAGTGGCTTTATAGTAGCTGAGTTCATGGAAAAGACAAAAACCTAGCCCTTACATAAAGCTCCCAGAGACTCTTGTGCTTCTCCATCAGCTCATTAAGTAGGTGCTCAAACTCCAGTCTGAAGGCATGAAAAATAAAAACAGGACAAGATAGAACAGAGTAAAACTATTAATGGTGAGAACGGAACTTTCCTAAAGAGAGGAACCTAAAAATTGCCTATGCTAGATCACACTAAGGGGTCATCTAGCCCAGAACTCAGTATTCAAGAAGCACCATTCAGATGCCCTTGAAAGAAAGCTCATAAGCAGAGCAAGTAGCTATCTCCCTCTTCCCCCTCCCCACACATGATAATCAGAATTATACTGTCCTGAATATGGAGGTTGAATATTGTTGTTGTTTTATTAATTATATTTCTTACCTGTTTTTCTCACAAAGAGACTTGAAAACTAAAACGCAACCAATAAAGCCTAAAAACATATCTATATGGATAAGAGTGGTATCTGAAGAAAAGTGTGCATGCACACGAAAGCTCATAGCAATAACTAACTTAGTTGGTCTCTAAGGTGCTACTAGAAGGAATGTTTTTATTTTATATGGATAAGAGACAGGTCTGATAGATCCCATACCACCAAAAGAGGTTGCAGATGCCTGAAACGCTTATAAATTAATGCCTGAAACCCTTCGGAAACCTGGGTAAAGAGGAAAGTATTTGCCTGGCCCTTAAAAAAGAAAAAGATGGTGCTCTCTCAGGGGAGAGCATTTCACAAGCAGGAGGCCACCACTGAAAAGCCCAATTCTCATGTTGCAATCTAGACCTCCCGGGGAGGCGTCAGATGAAGAAGGGCCTCAGAAGACATCTTAAGGCAGCCCTGTTCAGGGAAGTTTTTAATCTGTGATATTTTACTGTATCTTTGGTTTCTATGGAAGCCGCCCAGAGTGGCTGGGGAAACCCAGCCAGATGGGCGGGGTACAAATTATTATTATTATTATTATTATTATTACATTGATTTACACGGGGAGAGGCAGTCCTTGAAGTCCTGAGTCACATACAGATTTATAGGTTCAAACTACACTTTAAATTGAATCCACTCACTAGCAGCCAGTGGAACCATGCTAGAATTGGTGTTATATGTTGAGACAGTCCTGCCCCAGTAGCAATCTGGCTGCCAAATTCTGCACCAGCTGCAGTTTCTGAACCATCTTCAAAGGCAGCCCCATACGTAACACATTGCAGTAGTCCAACCTGGAGGTTCTGTTGTAGACAACAGAAGTTGGGCTTTCCCTGTCATCATAGGGGTAAAAAAAAAAAGAAGGTAAAGTACCCATGACAGTTAAGTCCAGTCACAGACAACTCTGGGGTTGCGGTGCTCATCTTGCTTTACATTCCGAGGGAGCTGGTGTTTGTTCACAGACAGTTAAGCCGCTTCTGGCGCAACGCAACACTGAAACCAGAGCAGCGCACGGAAACGCTGTTTACCTTCCCGCCGAAGCAGTACCTATTTATCTACTTGCACTTTTTGGCGTGCTTTTGAACTGCTAGGTTGGCAGGAGCTGGGACCAAGCAACAGGAGCTCACCCCATTATGGGGAATCGAACCGCCGACCGGCAAGCCCAAGAGGCTCAGTTGAAACTGATGGAAGGCACTCTGCATCGTCCAGGCCATTTGAGCCTGAAACATTAACAGCAGATCAAGAAGTACCCCAAGCCACATACCTGCTTCAGCCTCATCCAGAGGAAACCACATCCCATCCATCCAGTCTAGGGAACCACCTACTAACAGTGCCTTTGTCTTGTCTAGCTTAAGCTTCAGTTTATTATCACGCAGTCCATTACTGAGGCAAGACATTGATCTAGCATAGTCATTGCCATGGCTAATAGCAATTGCTAGACTGTCCTGTATAAATTTGGCTACTCCCTTTTTATAGCTATTTAAGCTAGAGGCCATCACTACCTCTTGTAATCAATTCCATTCACTGTGTAAAAGACTGTGTCAGGATTTCACCCAGCCTATTTGGTCTGGCCTGTTAGGCCTCTCCTATCCTATTGTTTCATAATTTATTACGTGCATATTCCCCATCCCAGGCCAAAACCTTCTCTCTAATCAAGTCATCACATGAACAAAGTGGTACTTTTTTATCAGTCCTAAACCTACCAGCAATACCTACCAGCCCAAAAGCATTGCAACTTTATTCTACAGAAACTGAAATTTATGGCACTCTTGCTAAAATAATACATATTGCAATTAATTGAAATTGGAATAAAGTGTAGCCCAAAACTCTTGTGACCAGATTCTATAATTACCTCTGGTCTCTTTGCTTTACTCTCTCTTCTTGGATCTTGGCTGTGAGTTCTTCAATTCGCTGCTTGCGCTCTAGGTTCATTTTCTGCTGCCTAATAAACAAGATAAAGCTGAGGTGTAGAATTGGGCTTCCTCTTAAAAAAATTTTATGAGCACAGTGGAACTTAAGTTCTGATTAAATATGCATAGGATCAGGCTGTCAGAATACTTACTGACACAGTTTTCACAGAACACTAAGCCAAACTATGGCTTAGCACAGATGTGCATGTGCAGGTTCCTGGAGAAATCATGGTTGCTGTACTCCTTCCCTGCCATCGTGCTACCTGGGGCTAAGCCATGGTTTGGCTTAGCACATATTTTGAACATGAGCTTGTCTCACTCAGAGCAAACCTTGGTAATAGCTTGTGGCTTGTCTGGAGTGAGGCGATGGATCCTTCTGATTAGAACTGCAACTTTAAAGTTTTGATGTATTCCTCTTTCCTTTACATATATACCCTTCAGTATTTTAGGAGGGGATATAAAAGGAAAACATTAAGAAATCTGACACACAAAATAAAGATAAACCACAGAAATAAGACTGATGTCTCATTCTAACCTAGTTGAACCACAGCTCACCTCTGCATCTCTGTTTCTGTCTCTTCACAGTGCAGCTGTACAATTTGTCGTGTCCCTACAGGGAAGATGAATACTAGTGTTTAGAACCCTGGTTACTCTTTTTATGGTTACTCTTTTAGAACTCTGGTTACTCTTTTAATATTTCTATCATGACCATATATACATGTTCTCTAACTTTAAACTGACATCAAACTGTGTCCAAAGAGAAGGAAAAAATTGTGTATCTTGTCGAAAAGACTATTCTCAGCAGCAACTCGCTTTTAAATTAATGACAAGCATTATAGTTTCATAGAAGCATTTCAAGGAGTGGATGAAGGAAAGTCCAACTGGAGATTCTAATTGCTAATCCCTATATTTGACTGACACAGCTCTTTGAAGCTACTAGTTCTGCCTCAATCCTTCCTCATATGAGAAATAAACTGAAGGAGTAGCTATGTTGAACCCAACATACTGTTATTAGTTTGTGGGTGCCAGACACCCATAAGTCCTGAATTTACTAAGTGTTAAAATTTAATCAATGCTTGGAGAGTTAAACTGGAAGTCATACTCTTAATAGCTGGATTCAGCTTCTCATGTTCAGGAGATTGCCTGAGAGATGGGCCTTTAACAAAGCTGGAAAACAAAGATAAAGATAGGGAGATGGGACATCAAGAAAGCAAAGACTCTGTGCCACCCTGGGCTCTGAGATAGTTAGCAGGGACAAAGCAGAGTTGAGTTTAGGATTGCATTTGGAGATGATGTGAGCTGGAGGAAAATGTCAGGGCTGGTTCAGCTGTAGGTCAGCACAGAGACTCTGAGACAAGCAGAAAAGTTGATTTTTTTATTCAAGGAAACAAAACACAAACAGAAACCTCCGGGCAAGACTGGCCTCAGTATAGCAGTTTCCAGAACTGATGATCTGTGCCTCCTATTTCCGCTTAAGCCTCCTCCCCGTCCACCTGATTCCCCAGCGATCTTAAACTCTGTTAGGGAGGGGGGCCCTGCAACCTCTGGGCCCATTGTTGTTCTGCATGCAAAGCCCTCTGTGCCCTTGGAGACAAGGGAGGAGGGGAGCTGAATACAGTAGGACCAGCCCGCTCCTAGGAATTTGTTGCAGCCTCAACCCCCACCTCCTTTCCAGCTGCCTGTCCTACATCTCTCTCAATCAAGCCTGTTGCTTGTTCAGTGATTCTGCCTCCCCTCTTCATCCTGACTTGTCTTCAATGTCCTGCCTGAGCCTTCCTCTTCTGAGGCTTCCCTAGAGGGTTCTCCAGCTGGAGCCTCCAACCACTCCTCATGCAGCCAGTCCATGACAAAAAATAGTTGCAGTCTGTAAGAATACAACAAGCTGGAGGGAGGCTGAGCCATGGCTGGTGATGTTTTTGATCCAAAGCTGCTGTGGTGATGGGAGAAGCAAGAATCAATGCTGTAAGCCAGTGGTTTTCAACCAGTGTGCCGTGGCACCCTGGGGTGCTTTGAATGATTGTCTGGGTGCTGCAGGCAACACTGGCCTCTCTCCCTCTTTCCTTCCCTCCCTCCTCTGATGCCCTGTCATGTCTCTGCCTCCCAAAGGCTTGCACAGCTGTTTATTGCAGCAGCCCTGGCTATAAGCTCCACAGCCGAGGGGTGCCTCTGGGAGGCACCTCTCTTTGGCATGGGGGTGGGGTGAGCAGCTCAGAGACCAGGGACGGCGTCAGCAACTGCCCAGAAGACTCCCAAGAAGAGGAGAGGGGAGAGGAGAGGAGAGGAAGCTAAGGGAACACTCCACAAGGGAGGGTGTTCCAAAAAGGGTGAGGGGCTGCTGGCTCTGTAGGTGACATAACTGGGATCCTGAGCTCCATTGGGGTGCCACAGAAAGAATGTAGTAGGTTAAGGGAGCTGTGGACCCAAGGTTGAAAACCTCTGCTGTAAGCACCTTTATCATAGACTCAGATCGTATATATGTGTAAATAAACCATATATCCTAAAGACACCACTGTCTCCTCTGTGCCTTGTTCTCAAAGGAAACACGAACCCTGAGTAAGCACCTGCCCCCCTGGAATTTTGCACTGCTCAGAGGTTGGGGTGGCATGTAACAATAAAAAATTTAAGAAGTGTACACCAGTCACAGTTAATGTATTTCCTACAAAATAGTGTGGACACTAGCCTCCCTATCCGTTGTGGGGGAGCATCTACATCAGTCATCATTGTCTTCCTTACAGGGAGTTCTTTGCACCACTCCTCTGTTCAGAACAGATGATGGGTGGATATCCAGTCCTGGCATCCCATGAAATGCTGACATACTTAAGGGAATGTGTTCAATATAGGAGATGCTGAGCCAGTGTACACAAGAACTGAGCAGGAAGAGCCAATTGTATTGTAGATTTCTGAGGGATGTTTACTGAGACCCTTTGCAGGTGCCATACAAAATACTGGCAGGCACCGTGGTACTTATGGGTAGTTCACTGACATCCCCTGATCTTCACTAATGATACCTCAGATAATATCCAATAGGTATTTATGTCATTCTTGAAGGCAAATTACACACTGCAGTTAAAGTAATAGTAATACAGTATATGGACTACCTAAGGGAAAGTTTTCATATTTACTCAGATAAAGGATATATAATCAGACCCAGTACTGAGAAAATGGACTCTGTCCCTGCAAAAAAAGCAGAGATGCTTTGGAAGGGTGCTAAAACTTGATTGTGCTGAAGACCCCCCAAAAACTCCCCTTCTTGCTGTCACCTTTCATTTCACTCCATATTTCCTCAAGGCTTGATTTCTCAGCATTTACTGCAAAAGGAAAAGAGCTCATTTAGCTGCTACCTTGTTTCTTTACTAATAACATAATCAGCCATTCACTCAAAGTTCCCAAATAATGCATACCTAGTAAAAAAAAAATTAACAATAAAAAGCTGTAATAAAATACTACACCCACATAGGTCATTTTTAAAAAATCACAATGCAGCATAGCCCACAAAGAGGCCTGGACTAGTTGCTCTCATTTGCTCTTTTATTTTTTCTGTTGTTTTTATGTTCAATATATGAATTTCACTTTTATCTGCTATATAAATGCTTTTTGCAATAAATAGCAGGATAGAATCATAGAGTTGGAATAGACCACAAGGGCCATCGAGTCCAACCCCCTGCCAAGCAGGAAACACCATCAGAGCACTCCTGACACATGGTTGTCAAGCCTCTGCTTAAAGACCTCCAAAGAAGGAGACTCCACCACACTCCTTGGCAGCAAATTCCACTGTCAAACAGCTCTTACTGTCAGGAAGTACTGTCAGGATAAATAAATAGAATTAGAACTGTTTTAAATAAATAAAACTGTGGCTGTTGGATGAGGTCCAGCAGGCTTCCCTCTCTGCCCCACTGGACTCTCGTGGATAGCCCTCCGTCAGCTACTTGTAGCAGAGTAGACACAGCGGTAGAAATCTGTTGCAATGTGTGTGTGTAATAACTCAGACTGCACGCAGGCTCTCTTGCTTATCTCCAAAAGTCTTTAATCGTGTAGAAAAACATCATAAATCACCCGGCGAGAGAGCGCACATCTTGCTTCCTCACCGCCGAAAACCGGAAGAACAAAGCACACAGAGAAACACTCCCCTCTGTGAACAAAGCCACGCCTCAGAATGTGAGACGTCACTCAGAACTCTTTAACCATGTAAGTTCTGATTCTCTCCACACCCCCTCTCGTCTTGCATCCTGAGGGAAACTGAACACACATCTTCAGACCTCTTAGAGTTCAACTCCTTTCCCATTGCCCCTCGCCCCTTCCTGGCATCTTTCTTAGGCAACTGTTGAACCTCCTCAACACTCCCAGATTCGCACTGTGCGAAACCAACCCACGCACTGGTGACCTGAAACCTCTCAGGTGGAATTCCCTTTGTTGTTCGAGCGGACCATCTGAGCACAAACTGAGGTGCTCCTTCTGACCCACTGGGGCCAGCAAGTGTGTCCTCTACATCAGCAGACTCTCCCTCTGACTTACTGCGTCTTTGAGCCTTCTGCACTTTGCTAACAGGAGATGAAGGCTCACTCTTGGGCTCTCTTTTAACAACCTGTGGAGATGCCCAACCCTGTTCTTGACCCTGGTCATCGACCTGGTCCTCATCAACAGGTTCAGCCTCTGGCACTCCCTCTTCCTCAGAATCAGACAGACATTCTGAGAGAACGTCAGGACTCGCATTGCGCCTTGACCAACCATCCTGCTCACAGAACTCAGCATGTTTACTGATCAGAAGCTTGGACTGATCACCTTCTGGATATGCAAACCTCCACCCCTTTGTCGCAGGTTCATATCCACAGAAGATCATTTTCTGGAACCTCGGGCCACCTTGCTTTTGTTGAGCCTTTGGCACAGGCACCCAGGCCTGTGAACCAAACACACGGAAGAAATGCAGCTTTGGTTTCTCTCCGTGGAGCACAAAATACGGGGTTTCACCTACCACTGAATTGTAGGACCTGTTCATCGTGAAATTGACCATTTTCATCGCCTCACCCCAAAAACTTTGAGGCAAACCAGAGTCACACAGTAGAACCTCTGTTGCTTGAACCAGAGCTTTACTCCTAAGCTCCGCCACGCCCCTCTCCTGAGGAGAAGTAGCACCCGTCACCTTGTGACGTATTCCTCTCTGGCGAAAGAAACTCTGCAGAGCAGATCCAGTGAACCCTGCACCTCGGTCACTCTTGAACCCCTGCACCTTGGTGGAGAACCGTAGTTCCACCTCCGCAACCCAGTCTTTGATCAGTTGCGTTGCCTCTTCTTTCGTTTTTAGCGAATAACACCAGCCGACCTGGCTGAAATCATCTTGCAGTGTCAGCACAAACCTGGCTCCGCCCAGACTTGGCTTTGGCATGGGCCCAAAAAGGTCTGTGTGCACAAGCTCAAAAGGTTTTGTGGTTACCCTCTCCACCCTGGGATAACTGCATCCTTTTACCTTTGCCATTCTGCATGCCCTACAATCTAGGGATTGGCCACATTCTCTTATTTTGCAACCTTTAGTGCACTCCGGCAACATCTGGATATCTTCCCAAGAACCATGTGACGTTCTTTTGTGCCACACACAAGCACATGAAACATGAGTGGGAACGGTTGCACACTTCGCCTGTGCTCCCTCAGCGTCCCCCTTACCCTCTAGAGGTGTCTCCAGAACAAAGAGGTTGTTCTGCCCTTTTGCAACACTGACCAGTTGCTTCCCCCCTCTGGAAATAGAACAGACATCATTTTCAAAGCAAACCTTGTACCCCTCCTGTAAGAGACAAGATACAGATAAAAGACAAAGTTCTCTCCACAAAAACAAACACAATGATGGACTAGATGGGCATTTGGTCTGATTTGGCAGGGCTCTTACGTTCTTAAGAACTTACTGGTAATTTTATTATGTAGATACTTTGAAAGTGGCCTCAAAAAACCAGCTATAAATCACAGCAACTACCAGACTTCTAATCTACTGCTATTCCCAACACAAGTGCCGCTAGAACAGTACAGAAAATGCTTTAGAGGAATTTCCCCCAAAATCGAGAATAAAATATAAAATATTGATAGATGCAAAAGAATGAGGTTTTTCCCTGCCGGATATGAGACTATACTATGAGGCATCCTGTCTTTGTTGGTTGAAAGAATGGATGACATTAGAGAATTCACATATTCTAGACTTAGAAAGTCATGACAATATTTATGATTGGGACGCTTATTTATGGTATGAAAAGGTGAAAGTTCATAAGAGATTTATAAATCATATAATTAGGGGGAAAATTGTATAGAGTTTGGGATAAATATAAGAATTTATTAGAGGTAAAAACACCACTTTGGCTCTCACCGTTGGAAACTATAGCGGTAAAGAATATGATAGAAGGGTAGACAGCTTATAGAAATTTATTAAAACAACAGGGAGAGTATAAATTTTTAAAAAATTAAGGAATTATCAGGAAAATTATCATTTGAATGAAGAATTTAAGAAAAACAGGATACGAGGGTTTGGGGAACCAATATCACAACTGGAGAGACACCTGTTGGAATGGAATGTAAAAGTGCTATCTAAAATGTATAAAATATTAATGGAATGGGAGACAAAGGATGACCAAGTAAAATATTCAATGATACATTGGGCAATAGGTATTGGTCATAATATAGATATGGAAGCATGGGAACAATTGTGGAATATGGATATAAAATTTACAGCATATTTAAGAGAAAATTATATGAAAATATTGATCGTATCTAACACCAAGTAAATTGGCAAAAATGTATAAATCTCAATCAAATAAGTGTTGGAAATGTAAAGACAAAGAAGATTCTTTTTATAATATATGGTGGTCTTGTGGTAAGGTTAAGGCTTACTGGGAAATGATATATAATAAAATGAAAAGGATGTTGTGATGGGATAATGAGCTGCTTGTGCGTAAAATGCAAGTCCCTCAGAGTTTGATCAGGTTCTCAAACCTCTGCCTGTGACGGAGCCCCTCCGGCATGGCTGCGTCAGTCGCTAGCAGAGTCCGAAAGTGGTTGCTTTCGGAATCTCTTCCAACATAAAAGCTCCTTAACGGAAACACGTCTTCTGGACTCTCTGCGTGACAGTTTCCGGCGAGGAGTGGGTGTCCCTATAGGAGGTCCTGAGACCTCCCCACTGTTTTCGCTGGAAGCGTCTCTGAGCCATCCCTCCGACTCACTTTCCCTTGGAGTTCCTTCTCTCCCCCTACTGGTTCCCTCTTCAGCTGCTGCGTCTCTCTCAACCTCAGTGAGCCTTTCCACCTCTTGTCCTTCCGATGGCAGTTCCCTGACAGATGTTTAAAATAATGTTCGTAAAAAAATCCCCAGAAGCTTTTCTCTTGGGAATTATAACTACCTAAACTGTATAGAAACTTATTCATGTATGCGACTACAGTGGCAAGAATGCTGCTTGCCCAAAAATGAAAAGAAGAAGTTCCAGCAAAGGAAGAATGGATACAAAAACTTACGGAATATGCAGAAATGGTGAAGCTTACTGGAAGAATAAGAAATAAAGATATAAATTTTTTATAAAAGAATGGAAATGGTTTATTGAATATTTACAGATAAATTGTAAACAAATAGAAGCATTGGCAGGATTATTGTAATAATCTGCAGTTTCATAAGAGTATATATTTTAAAAGATGAATAAATGAGCAAATTAAGTTAATTTGGATATGCAGAAGATATTAAAAATTTAAGGAACAGCAGAAAGAGGGGGAAGGAAGTCAAGTTTTGAAATGTCAAAATGATTGTAAAATCAGTGAAATGTATAAATCTGAAAAGTATAAATAAATAGAGTGCAGCAGCAGCAGGAGCAACAACAACAGCACACACACACACACACACACACACACACAGGAATTTCCCCCAATAATTTCAGCTATAGTTTGCTTTAAGCTAGAGGTTTGGTCATCCTTTTTTAAATGTATATATATCATCTCAAAACCCAGCTTGACAGATCTAGCAAAAATATAGATCTTGCACAGAATAACCTTTGATCTCTATATTCTTAGATTATGAATAGTGTTAACTAGAGTAATAGGGAGCTTTGGGCACAACCTGGGCAAAATTTCAGTAAGCTTATTCTCAACACTGGCATATCTAAAAGAATGCCTGACATCAACTTGCCTGAAGTCTCACACACTAAAGCACACACAGCTACTAAATACAGTGGCGTAGCGTGGAGGGGTATGGGGGCCGTGGCCAAGGGTGCACAATATGGGAGGCGGAAACCAGGTGCCCCCTCAGATACCTCGCGCCCTGCCGGCAGCGGGGGCTGGAGAGCACGGAAGGTGAAGATCGATCACCCTCTGTGTGTCCCACCCACGCCTGGCGCGTTGTTGCAGCTCCCCCTTCCCAAGGTCAATCCCAGGGGCAGAGAGCGGCTGCAGTGCCTGGCCTGCCCGGCCATTGTTTCTCTGTCCCCAGGCCAAGCCTGACCCGGAGGGCGGAGAGAGGCTGTGGCGCGTGAGGAAGCTCCGGCCAAGAGGGAGAGTTGGCCCACTTCCAGGACTGGGGCACGCAAGTGTGCCAGTGCCACCGCAGCCTCCCTCCGTGCACCGCCCCCTTTGGCCCGTGCGCTATTTACCTACACTCCGCCATTGACTAAATCAGAGGCCAGCAAACTTTTCCAGCAGGGGCCAGTCCACTGTCCCTCAGACCTTGGGGGGGACGGACTATATTTTGGGGGGGGGGTGGAGTGAATGAATTCCTATGCCAAACAAATAACCCAGAGATGCATTTTAAATAAAAGCACACATTCTACTCATGTAAAAACACGCTGATTCCCAGACCGTCCACAGGCCAGATTTAGAAGGCAATTGGGCCAGATCCAGCCCAAGTTTGCCTACCCATGGACTAAATATTGCTGCTGGTGGAAGAGAAAACTAGAAACCTGTTATATATTAAATCTGGTGGCAGCAGTAGTCACCAGCATTCCCCCCCCCCAATGCATTTGAAGCAGAGCAGCATAATCTAAGCAGTGAAAACCTGGAACCTCAGCCACAGTACCCTTTAAATGTAATCAACCATTCTTAAATTGTGGTGGTGCTAATGCTCCAGTGGCCAAGGAAAGAATAGAATCCTGCTGGGTATAGAATGAGGCTTATTGAAATACAATGCGTTGTTTTCAGTAGAGTTGTTCTCAATTCACACACCAGTGCTCCTCTGAAAAAGAGCTTTTATATCTAGAGCAAAACTTTCAGATTAAATCTGTGTGTTGTCCATAGTCAGAAAAACAGCTACATGGTGCAACTGAATCGCAATCAAGACTTAAAATACAAATTGGAATAAGAGAAGTGCTTGAATTATTCAGGTCAAGCAGTTCAGTGAGCATTCCCTCAATGCTTCATATAGTCCATGTTTGTCACATGGTGCTAAAGTTACCTACATATTTCCAGTTCCCTTTGCAGTGTCTTGCTATGCTCATTTGCCTCAGAGAGCTCCTCACTTAATATCTTCTTGGCTGGAAAAAAACACACCCAGATATACACACTACAGAGGACTAAGAATAAGCACTAAAGAGTAAATAATGAATGGAGAACAACTAAAACCAGTGGGCTGGCTCCCACTAAGGAGTCCCATCGTTGAAAGGATTTACACTTGTACAAGAGAACACCCTCCTCTGCAACTAGACCTCAGATCCTCCCAATTGGCATCATCCTCTTTGACTCCTCAACATAATAGTCAATATAAACCGAAATAAGATAAAATTTACTATTATAATCCATTCATTATCACAATTCATTATTACAAAGTCTCCAAACCACACAAGCAGCCACTCAAGCACACACCCCAGCAATCGCTCGCTCAAAAACTCCTTCCTTCACAAACACTTTTTCATCTCCAAAACTAGGGCCACCAGATGCAGAAGATGACAGGATTCCTGAACCTTTTGAGAGTTGAGTAGAAGAGGGAATTTAAACAGGTGTGGTTTGTCATGCAAGCACTGGTGTATGCTAGGGACAGAGGAGGGCAGGGTGGCTGGAGGCCTGTATTTAATGGAGCAGGGGGTCTTACTAGGCATCAAGGAAGGGGTTGGGGGTACTGTGGTGCTTGCAACCACCACCATAACAACCCCAGGAACAAGCCCAGAAAGGTGATGGGAGTCATGCATTCAGAAACAGTATTGAGAGGCAAAAACAGAGGCTTTCAGAAATACTTGAATACTGAAACTGCTTTTGTGCCACTTAGTGGACTCTTGCATTTTCATTTTCTCTTTGGGAGCCACACCTTAGGAAATCCTGCCTTTTCAAGTCAAAGGAGCCTGACTTGGCATCCTTTGCGCAAGGGTACACCTTGCTCTGCAAAAGATTCTGCATAACCATTGCTAACCTCTTTGCACTCTTCTTACCTTGCTGCAGTTTATTGATCCTTTTTACTAGCTCTTCAACTTTTGGCTCCAGAATTTCCACTACAAAAGGGAGAAGAAATCTTACCTTTAACCAGATTCTTAACTATGCTAATTACTAACAGAATAGTGATTACTTTAAAAAATCCTAATTGTATGAATTCACTATAACTACTCACCTGTATCAGATAGGTAGCCGTGTTGGTCTGCCATAGTCAAAACAAAAAAAAATTCCTTCCAGTAGCACCTTAAAGACCAACTAAGTTAGTTCTTGGTATGAGCTTTCGGGTGCATCTGTGTATCTGAAGAAGTGTGCATGCACACGAAAGCTCATACCAAGAACTAACTTAGTTGGTCTTTAAGGTGCTACTGGAAGGAATTTTTTTTGTTTTGTACTCACCTGTATATCATCATATGATTATATTGAACAGCATGACATAGCTCACAAGCCTTGATGCTGTGTTTTATGTTTCCTCATGCAGCCTCTGTTAGGACAGTTTTCTTCCTTCCCCAAAATCCCCTCCTCACAAACATTTTTTTCCTCAAATCTTCCACTTTTCCCTCCCCTTGCAGCTTCAGGTCAAGTCCATGCTGCCTCTAGGTGGTCATGTATCCTATCGACTAGGTATAATCCTATTTGAAGGGCTCTCCAATCAAACTTCTAAAGAGAAAGAACTCAAAAAAGGGGGAGCAGGAGGGGTCTAAAAGTTGCCAGTCAAGAGTTGTCCCTCTAACCTGGGCAACAGACTGAGCCAGGACACAGCTCCTGTGGTCAGTCTTCCCCACTATGGCAAGGTGTACTGTAATTCTATATAAAGCTTAGTAATTTTTTAATAAATTGCCATTTATACATATACATTAGTGTATGAAATTAGTGTCCTCTTTTGCTCTTTGTTGGCCATGTGTAAGTGCCAACCCTATCTCTCTCTCTCTCTCTCTCTCTCTCTCTCTCTCTCTCTCTCTCTATTTATGGCCTCCACACCACTCACCGTTTCTTTTAATGGATTCCCCAGGTTTGTCCACCCCAACTTCTACAGAGTAATGAAGTCACTATGTACAGTATATATATTAACCACATATTTTTTATGCCCCACCAAGAAGCACAGAAGAAATGATGCAATGTGTATTTCATCTCCTGGAGGGCGTGGAAACATCTGGAGGGCATGGAAACATACTACTGTATACCAGGGGTCGGCAACCTGCAGCCCATGGACCACAAGCACCCCACAGGTCGTTTAAACAGCCCCTGAGCTCCCCCTGAACCGAGCTGCCCGCTCAGCGAGTCCCCCGCACGCTGCGCTACACCAGTGCAGCGCGGAGACTCGCTTCCACAGCGCCGGAAATCGCGTCTGCGCAGACGCCGGAAATCGCATCTGCACAGATGTGATCCAGCCCACAGAGCAATCTCGGCAGGAGTGAACCGCCCCAGGCAAGGTAAACCTTGCCGACTCCTGGTACAGACAACCCTGGCAACTGTAGCTTGTTGTGGGTGCTGGGAATTGTAGCTCTAGCAAGGGGAAAACAACAGTTCCCAGGAAAGCCATGCCTGTTAAAGAGGTATAAAAGTGCTTTAAATGTATGGTCTGGACATGACTAGATCAACAAATTACAACAAATGTAAATATCAATTACTACAAAGAAAAGTCAGAAATCCATCCCTTTAAAGGTGTTTCCCAGCTTTTCTGGTACTAAGAGCAGATAAAATTAACTGTTCCAGTTCCCAGCAACTCTTTATACACTTTGCTGTTGTCATCTGCATGCCCTGTTCTCTACTTGGATGCTTAGTTCCTGGTTATTTCCTTCTAACCATTTGGTGTATAGATTCAAAATACCATTCTGCATTTGTTTCACAAGTGACAGAATCTCTTCCATTTTCGTTGCAAAGTCCCAGGGATCTGGAGAGAGAACAAAAGCAAACACAGAATTGTCTAGATGTTGCCATAACTCAGCATCCACCACATAAGGTCAGTCACAAAAGAAGATGTTAAGTCAGCCACGTGAAAACCCAGGGGCCACTGAGGCCTTCTGCAGCTTCCTTTGTAAATGTAAAGGGACCCCTGACAGTTAAGTCCAGTCGTGAACAACGCTCATCTCGCTTTACTAGCCGAGGGAGCCGGCGTTTGTCTGCAGACAGTTTTTCTGGGTCATGTGGCCAGCATGACTAAGCCACTTCTGTCAAACCAGAGCAGCGCACAGAAACGCCATTTACCTTCCCGCCGGAGGGGTACCTATTTATCTACTTGCACTTGACGTGCTTTTGAACTGCTAGGTAGGCAGGAGCCGGGACCGAACAACGGGAGCTCACCCCGTCGCGGGGATTCGAACTGCTGACCTTCTGATCGGCAAGCCCTAGGCTCTGTGGTTTAGACCACATCACCACCCACATCCCTTTAGCTTGCTTTTTATGGAACAGTTATTCTCTCATCCTCAATTCTACATCTGAAAAGGGAACAGCAGTGATCTTTTTTCACATGGTTATTAAGAGGAAAACTATACAACATTTTGCACATGGAAAGGGTGATAGAAATTCTAATAACAAGTTTTCAAATTTACTAGAATGCCAAGATTCTCAGCAACTGAGCTCTTCAGACAGGCTTTCTTTCATAGCTAGATAAATGAATCGTTACTGCAGATATCCACTTGTTAGGGTTTTAGTCTTGGTTTTAAAATATTTGGTTTTGTGTTTTTAAATGTTTTTAATTATTTTATGTGCAAATCACCTTGAGACAGTAGTTTAGAAGGCAATTAATAAATCAATTGTAACAACAACAACAAATGTAGATGTGAAACACCTGCCAAGGTTAGACAGGTGGGATACGAGAGAACTGCCCAAACAGTGGAACTCCCTCCTGAGATTTGTTCACCTGTCATGGTTATCTTCCAGATGTTAAGTGAAGTATATCCTTCTCACTTGGGCTTTTAAATATATTTAGGATTCCGCCAATCTTAACAGATTTTTTGATGGCTAATCTTTTGTTTTTCTGCTTTTATTATGTTGCTTATTTCATAAATAAATAATTTTGTTTTAAAAGGAGTATACATTATGGGTTAGGCAGCAATCCTGTACTCCCTCACTGAAAAGTAAGTCTCCCTAATTCAAAGAAAGCTACTTCTGCATCCATTGCACCATTAGAAGACAGGATGTATATTCCTTGGTAAGATATATATTCATAAGAGCTGGATTATCAACTCCATATCCTTCCAAGACGGTTTAGCTGCTACCTGTACAGATCTAGCTGCTGTGTCCTGCAGGTGGGAACATAGCTGACAAGTTTATGTTTAGCTTGCAGGTTACAGTGGGTGGTATTCAACAAAGGCTTACTCTGAGTAGACTCACTGAAATTAATAATCATTACTTAGTTAGGTCAATTAATTTCAATGAGTCTACTCAGAGTCAGCCTTTGCTGAAAACCACTCAGTCTATTTTCCTTGGAAACTGGCAAGGAAAGGTTGAACACTGTGCTGCTTCTCCCTTCAAAAAGCATCCCTAGCCAAAGCTGTTTTTTCTTCACAAAAAATATGCTATTCATAGTTGAAGAGATACTTTTCCTTGGGCTGTGTAAAGATAATGAGAAAGTATGTTGCTGGTCTGTATTCCACCCTGTTTTGTTCTTATTCTTCTGTATTTTTTGTTATGCTTTCTTTTTTAAGTGTGCTGTTTGTTCTTCACATTTGAGGGGAACCTGCCCTTTATCCCTTAGCTGATGGCCTTTCTGGCCATGTTTTGCACCCATTTTTCTTGCTTTTAATACATAAAACATGTTTGGAAGACTCCACATAAAGTTTTATGGATGCAGAGCAAAATCTCAAGGATTCAGAGGGCAGTTTCCCAGAGCGCAGGAGGGAAATGATGTTGTTTATTTCCATGTGTTAACCAGCTTCTCATTGCCCAACACTAAGCCTAAGCTTTTCCTTTCCCCCTTTTTCTTATTTAAGGAAAACTCACTGTGGAGAGAAAAATATGAAGGTTTGATAGAGCTGCTGAGCTTTGTAAGGGAAATGTGACCATTTAGCTCTGGCATACCCAACATGGTTTTCAGCGCCTGCTAAAATCAATCCTGTTTCGACAGGCCTACGTGGATACTTAGAAAGCTGAGGTAATTTTAAACTGCTTTCATATTTCAACTCTTGTATGTTTTAAAGTAGGGTTGTAAATTTATTCTGATTATATTGGCTTATCTTTTTGTAAACCGTTCTGAGGGTTTGTTTCTTTTTTTACAATCAAGTGGTAAACAAACAAAGTGTCCCTGTGATCCTGGCAGCCTCCTCCGTCCCTCAGCCGGCTTGGTACCTGTCAAGGCCCTCTCCCCATTTTAATGTTTTTCAGTGGAGGGGCTTTTGGGGTGGGGGCTGTTTTATGGAAGGGGTGGCCAGGCCAGTTATTCTTGAGCGCATTTTGGTCTTGCTGCCCATCCTTCCCTCCCTCCTGTTTCTTCTCACAGGTGACTCTGAGATCTCCTCAAGCTAGCAAAGTATTTGGGAGTGCTGGGTTCTCCTCCACAGCCGCCTCTCTCACCTGGATCGTTTCCCTCCATCGCGGTTCCCTCGTTCCTCTTGCAGCAACCGCTGCTTCCAGCCTGGTCTGGCGCTCCAGAACCTTGGACTTGGCCCGCCCTTTCTCAACTGTCCCTTTTGCTTCTCCCTGTTCTTCAGAAACAGCCAGCCTCAGGGGTCCCACGCCAAAGGAAAGCAAACTTTTGGGTTCACAGCAACCATGACTCTGCAACCCCAGCAAGTACCAGGCCCAAATATACACTTCTCAAGAAAAGGGCTTCAAACATGTGCATGACAAGGAGAGAAGGAACTGTGACTCTGGTCCCAGGTCTCCAGGGGTCTATTAGGCTCCTTCAATGACACCTTCCCACACAGCCCGGCTATTCTCAACCGCTCAGCTCATTCCTCAGGGGTATGAGAGCCCGCCAATGTGAAATACCGTGATCTGGCTGGCAGGATTTGAACAGGCTACCCTCCCATCCACCAGCCTTTCTAAAGTGTACAGAATCAATGAACAGGTGGCAAAAGGAAGGAGTTGGCCACCTGCAATAGTGCTAAAGACATCGTTGCCTCATTACACAGCTGAAAAAACCACCGTGAAACAGAGATCTGAGCAGGTCAGAGTCAACTATATAAATGGTTGTTTATTTCTGGATCTTTCCTAATAAGTTTTATTGGATTTGCTGGTTTTGTAACTGGATTTGTAATGGCTTTTAGTCAAACACAATAAATGATTCATTGAAAAAGAACTATGGAACCAACTCTAACCCCTCTTACTAGGTGGAACCCCTGTTGAGTTCAGTCGGACTTGCTTCTGAAGAAACATAGCTGAAATTGTGCTGTAAGTTATTCTAGTTTACCTCTCTATCCCTACTCAAAGCCAGTTTGAATTTTAAAATGTATTGCACTGCTTCCAGAAGACACAGATGTCCAGACTTTAACAGGCCTCTAGGCAGACAGAGCTCTACATCTGAAGGGCAGCCACCAAAAAAAACCCCTCATTGTGCCCAGACCTGATTTGGAGCACAGGTGATGTATCTGAACTCAAAGGGGAATGCTTCTTAAAGGCCACGGTGGAGCATTAGGCTGAAGATATGGCACAAACTGTTTATTATTATTTATGCCATTGTGGATAGCCACTGGCTCCTTGAACTGAGCTTGCCAAATAACAAGCTGACGGAGCAGACACTGGATCCCTAACAGCAGCCTCTTTCCCATTTTAGAATAATAATAACAATTATAATTTATTATTTATACCCTGCCCATCTGGCTGGGTTTTCCCAACCACTCTGGGCTGCTCCCAACAGAATATTGAAAACACGATAAAACACCAAACATTAAAAACTTCCCTAAACAGGGCTGCCTTCAGATGTCTTCTAAAAGTCAGCTGGTTGTTTATTTCTTTGACATCTGATGGGAGAGCATTCCACAGGGCGGGCGCCACCACCGAGGAGGCCATCTGCCTGGTTCCTTGTAGCTTCACTTCTCGCAGTGAGGGAACCATCAGAAGGCCCTCAGAGATGGACCTCAAAGTCCAGGGTGGATGAGGGGAGTGGAGACGCTCTTTCGGGTATAATAATAATAGTAGTAGTAGTAATAATAATAATAATTTTTAATTTATACCCCACCCTCCCCAGCCAAGGCCGGGCTCAGGGCAGCTAACAAGCAATAATAAAAACAAGTTGAATGAATACAACTTAAAAACAAGATTAAAATACAATATTAAAATATTGAAACATAAAAATATTAAAATGTAGCCTCATCACAGGAGGAGAAAGGGAAAAGAAAAAAGAAAGAGTGGGAGGGAATCAAATTGGCTCCAAGCCAAAGGCCAGGCGGAACCACTCTGTCTTACAGGCCCTGCAGAAAGAGATCAGATCCTGCAGGGCCCTGGTCTCATGAGGCAGAGCGTTCCACCAGGCCGGAGCCAGAGTTGAAAAGGCCCTGGCTCTGGTTGAAGCTAATCTAACTTCCTTAGGGCCCAGGACCTTGAGGCTCTCCGTGGGGCATACCGGGAGAGGCGGTCCTGTAGGTACGAGGGTCCTAGGCCGTGAAGGGCTTGAAAGGTCAAAAGCAGCACCTTAATCTGACCCTGTACTCCACCGGGAGCCAGTGCAGCTGGAAAAGCACTGGGTGAATATGCTCCCATGGCAGAGACCCCGTGAGGAGCCTCGCTGCAGCATTCTGGGCCAAACTTATTCAGGGACAGCCCTATTGAGGCCATGCTTTCCATGAAGTCCTGAGCATTCTGGGCCAAACTTATTCAGGGACAGCCCTATTGAGGCCATGCTTTCCATGAAGTCCTGAGCGGTTCCTTGTAAGGTCGTGTTGGCATGGATGTTAAAATCCCCTAGGACAACCAAACTAGGTGTCTCCAGGAGAACATCCACCACGACCAAAAGCAGCTCAGGCAGGGAATCCTTGGTGCAGCGGGGAGGTCGGTACACCAAAAGGAATCCTGTACTGCCCCTATTGCCCAACTTCCAGAACATGCACTCAGAGAACTGGGTCTTCCCATTAGGACGCCTGGTGCAAGCTAATGACTGCATCCCCCCCCTCCCCCCTGCATCCCCCCTCATCACCTACATGACCTGGGTTGCTGTGCATAGGAGAAACCTGGTGGACAAGCAGTAGCAAGAACAGGACCATGCACCTCGTCCAACCAAGTCTCTGTTACACATGCCAGGTCAAGTCCTCCATCCACGATCATGGATGGCAGTGGTCTTATGAATCATTGACCTAGTATTGCACAGCAGCACCTTACGGTTATGTGGGTCTCCCTTGTTGATTCCAGTATCCTTCCAGTCAAGACCAGAAACCAAGGCAGGGATAGTCTTCAAACAATGACTAAACCTGCCCAACTTTCAGAACATGCACTCAGAAAACTGGGTCTTCCCATTAGGACACCTGGCGCAAGCTAATGTCTTCCTAAAAATCACTACATTCCCCCACCTCCTCACCCACCTGACCTGGGTTGCTGTGCATAAGAGAAACCTGGTGGACAAGCAGCGACAAGAAGCAGCCCATCTGCCTGTTCCAACCAAGTCTCTATTACACATGCCAGGTCAAGTCCTCCATCCACAATCAAGTAGTGGATGACAGCCTTCTTGTGAATCATTGACCTGGCATTGCACAAGAGCACCTTACGGTCATGTGGGTCTCCCTTGTTGATTCCAGTATCCTTCCGGTCAAGACCAGAAACCGAGGCAGGGATAGTCTTCAAACAATGACTAAACCTGCCTCCATGGAAATGACATGGTCTGGTCTTAGTGTAACTCCTCCGCCTACCCGCGATCACTGAGATGGGATGTCCCCTGTGGAAACTGCCCGAGCCATTCTGTTGGCTGGGGCCCACTCCCAAGCAGCCCTGACCCTCTCCCCTTCAGAACAAAATACAAACTATACAATAAACCAGTAAGACCAGGGGTCAGCAACCCCATGGGTCACAAACAGCCCATAGGGGTTGTTTAACTGGCCCACGAGCCGCCTGCTTGGCGAGTCCCATGTTGTTGTTGTTGTTGTTTAGTCGTTTAGTCGTGTCCGACTCTTCGTGACCCCATGGACCAGAGCACGCCAGGCACCTCTGTCCTCCACTACTTCCCGCAGTTTGGTCAGGCTCATGCTGGTAACCTCGAAAACACTATCCAACCATCTCGTCCTCTGTCGCCCCCTTCTCCTTGTGCCCTCCATCTTTCCCAGCATCAGTGTCTTCTCCAGGGAGTCTTCTCTTCTCATGAGGTGGCCAAAGTACTGGAGCCTCAGCTTCACGATCTGTCCTTCCAGTGAGCACTCAGGGCTGATTTCCTTAAGAATGGATGCGTTTGATCTTCTTGCAGTCCATGGGACTCTCAAGAGTCTTCTCCAGCACCATAATTCAAAAGCATCAATTCTTCGGCGATCAGCCTTCTTGATGGTCCAGCTCTCACTTCCATACATCACTACTGGGAAAACCATGGCTTTAACTATACGGACCTTTGTTGGCAAGGTGACGTCTCTACTTCTCAAGATGCTGTCTAGGCCTGTCATTGCCCTTCTCCCAAGAAGGAGGCGTCTTTTAATTTCGTGGCTGCTGTCACCATCTGCAGTGATCATGGAGCCCAAGAAAGTAAAATCTCTCACTGCCTCCATTTCTTCCCCTTCTATTTGCCAGGAGGTGATGGGACCAGTGGCCATGATCTTCGTTTTTTTGATGTTGAGCTTCAGACCATATTTTGCGCTCTCCTCTTTCACCCTCATTAAAAGGTTCTTTAATTCCTCCTCACTTTCTGCCATCAAGGTTGTGTCATCTGCATATCTGAGGTTGTTGATATTTCTTCCGGCAATCTTAATTCCAGCTTGGGATTCATCCAGCCCAGCCTTTCGCATGATGTATTCTGCATATAAATTAAATAAGCAGGGAGACAAAATACAGCCTTGTCGTACTCCTTTCCCAATTTTGAACCAATCAGTTGTTCCATATCCAGTTCTAACTGTAGCTTCTTGTCCCACATAGAGATTTCTCAGGAGACAGATGAGGTGATCAGGCACTCCCATTTCTTTAAGAACTTGCCAGTCCCATGCACTGTGCTAAACCAGTGAGGTGAGGGGACTCAATTCTGCGGCACCGGAAATCATGTCTGCATAGACAAAAATGCTGGAAATCGCGTGCGCGCGATCCGGCCCATGGAGGGATCTCTGCTGGAGTGAACCAGCCCAGGTGAGGTAAACCTTGCCGACCCGAGTAAGACAGTAGAAACTAATTTTTAAAAAACCATTTATACTAAAATAAACTAATCCCCAGCCCCAACTAAACGTTTATCCCATCCCCAACAGAGTAAAAAAGCAACAACAACAAAACATTTAAAATGCCACAGATTAAAAACTATTTTAAAACATTTAAAAGCATTTTTGACATTTGCCCCAACCCGAGTTTGTTCCAGTGAGTCTGGACTCACAGCAGGGCAATGTCCCTCCGTCCTCCCAGGAGTCTCTTATGTTGAGCAGGGTGAGTCTGGTCCCTGCACCGTAGGCCAGATGGAAAGGGCCTTGCAGGGAACAGGTCTTCCTTCCAACACTCATGGCAGCAGCGGTGTTCCATCGGGCTGAAGCTCCGAAGTCTCCACACGGTCAGGAAAGGCAACACTACATAAAGCACATTTTTAGTTAGGCTAGCCTTGAAGCTCTGAAGTCATGAATGACATTCAGTAGATCTGCACCTGTCAGACCAAGTCACAGCTTCTTCAGCAAGAGGGCCTGGTGGAAAGCACCACCACAGATACCTGGATATTCCAGTGATGGATCCATGATCACTCCGGGGCAAAGAGTCCAAGAGACTAAAATGGGCCATATTCTATCAGAATTGGAGGTCAGGGCCCTTTCAAGTCACAACGCCTGCCAATATGATTACTTTAGTCTTGTCTGGATTTAGTTATGATTGGCCTGTCTTTCTCTAATCCCCAAAATAAAGTTAGGTAAGTTACAAGGTAGTACAGTACTCCTTTTGTGAAGACCAAGACACAATCGGATTCTTTTCAGGATTATCCAGTTGAACCTCTGTGGAACAGGCTCTGTGACAAAGGAAAATGAGTACTAAGGACACTTCTATTACCTTTGTATTGTACATATTGAGGGAGAGAATGCTTTTTTTAAAAAAAATGTACAACCCTAGTTTGACTCAGCCATTTGAATTTTATATTCAAGGCAAATCAAGGATGCAAGCTTCTTAAAGCAGACACCAAGGTGTATTAAGAGAATTTCTAAGAGCAGGAGCATCTCCACACTGCAGGAAGTCAGCCATGCAGACAGAGATTACACAGTGGTTTGACTGCATGGACTGCCATAAACTGAAGTGCATCACACATC